TTATGAATGGGGATATAAATTCTCTCCAAAATGAAGCCTACAGAATGAAAGTGAAAAAAAACTCGCATTTTATAGCGTAAAATAAATTTGAATTAAATATATTTTAATAAAAGAAAATTTATAATGTTTAAGCAAAAACCAAATTAAAATAAATTTTTATTGCATTCAGAAATCAACAGTGTAATTTAGGCTGAAAAAGTAATGCGTCAAATGCGTGTTGTTGTTGTAAAGTAAAGGAAGACTATACCTGCAAGTTCGCATACTTTAATGGGATTGGTGCATGCACTGGGCTCACTCTTTCCAGCTGCGTTGATGGCATATACTCTGAATTCATATTCCGCGTTCTCCATCAGATTCATCACAGTATAGTGACATTCAGCACATGGGAAATCATTGGCCTTGAACCAGAACGTGCTCCCTGCTTCTCTCCTCTCAACAATGTAACCTGAAAACAATTCAGATGGGATAGTGGAATTACCAGCAAGAGAAGTATGTATGGCAGCAAGTAAATTTGGTTGGTGGAGCAGTTTGGAGAAAAATAATTTTAGTATATTAGGTGAAAAATTGTGCTTGTAAAATTACGTTTTTTAGCATATAAATTTAACACTCTAGGAAAGAATGAAACTTAGTATATATCTGTAGTGTCCAAAAGCAGACAAAATCGACTGCACTGGGAAAGAAGAACTAATGTGTAAAGAAATGTGTTTAAAATTAATTTTTAATACTTTTTATATTAATTACAGTTGTGTAATATGTTATTAGTAAATATTAACACTAAAAAAATTGTATGTTGCACAAAAATCTCAAAATTTTAAGAAATTGTATCATTATATACATCGTTGTTTTTCTAATTGAAATTAGAAAACAGTCAAAATGACTTCCTTGGGCAATCTGGTGTTAATAGGACTAAAATTCATTTTTAAATACAAAAGATGTAACAGAAACAAAGCAAAGAACTATTTAAATAAATAAATAAAAGATCATATTTAAATGTGCCTCTTAAATAATTAGATACAAGGTCAAGAATATTTGAAAGATAAATCCTCGTTTAAATAATACCATCATCAGGGCTAGAATATGACAACCTAAGAAAAATTGCCAAATAATAGACCTTAAAATAAAAGTAACGTCACTCAAATTTCCAAAGAAATGTTTTTATTGACTTCATTGAAAATGAACTAATTGTTTAAAAAAACATGTAGCTTATGAATAAAATAAAATATAATAAATACTTCAAGATAAGTAAGAATCATTAGTTACACTATTCTAGAAGTTTCGCATTGTATTATTTTTAAAAGTTTTTTGTGATATTCTATTCTATTGTCGAAAAGCAAATTCTTTTTTTCATGAAACACCAACTCTTGCCATTGGAGTAGATAAATTGCTTCAAAGTGCGAAAACCGAATATTTTGATTGTCATACTGTAATTCAGTGATAATTCTCATTTCAATTTCTTGTTACCTAAATTACCGAAATCAAAATGACTGAAATTTGGCTAATTTACTTTTCTGAATGGAAAATAAATCTCTGGCAATTATGATTAGAGAAATATTTATTTAGTAAACTTATTTATGCTTAAAAGTTTTTTCAATTGTTTTACAATATTTAAATTTAAAGATTTTAGAGAAAATTGTAGCAGCATTGGGAGTAATTTATAATGAGAAAATATTGATCCAAAAGCTCTTAAAATAAAAAATAAAAATATCATTCAAATTCAAAAGAGGGGGAAATTATGAAAAAGCATTTACAGCTATGGTTCTACATCACCGAATTTCGAAGTATCTGGCAAAACAACCGAAGGCTAAATATATTAATCCTTATCAACATAGCCAGACTCTCTTAACCTGATCTACCATGATGTTCTGTTTGTAGGAGCAAACTAATTGCGATTAATGCGTACTCTCCTATGAAAGATATTTTAATTTCTGCTGAGGGGAAACATCAGTTTTTGGTTAAATGCATACTGAACAGTGTCACTTAGCTATACCCAATATATATTTCGTACATTTATCTAAGCGTTGTTGTAGTTCAATTACGTCGCACTGGAGCTGCACAATGGGCTATTGGCGACGGTCTGGGAAACATCCCGGAGGATGATCCGAAGACATGTCATCACAATTTTGATCCTCTGCGGAGGGGATGGCACCCCCGCTTCGGTAGCTCGACGACCTGCGCGCGAAGTCGAGCACTTTACGATAGAACAGTTTAACGAGGACCCATACCGCACACCCTCGATCCCTACTCAGACTGATCCCTACGCAGACGGTCACCCACCCGCAAACTGACCGCAACCAGTGATGCTTGACTTCGGGATCTGCTGGGAACCGTGTCTTAACGATCAGTTCACTGCGGGACCATTTACCTAAGCGACTATGTGATTGTCAACATTCACCGGTGGATTGATTGAATGCAGAGTTAAAAGAGGATATGCTACGCCAAACAGTACGTCAATGCAGCTTAAAATGCATACTGCAATTTTATTTTCATAAAATACATAAAGGTAACAAAACCGTCGAGACGAATGTATTTAAAAGTGAGTATAAATTCCAATAAAAAGGCATATAAAATTCATGAAATAGGTAAAAAGGTGAATGGATAAGAGTGAATAAAATCAGATAAAACCAGCTACATAAAATACTGGCAGAAACGCGAAAATGTTACATAATGAAAAAGGTAATACGATGTTGGTTAAAAGAGGGAGAAATATGTGTTCTCCGAAGATGGGGTGATTCGAGTGTGGCCGTCGACGCAACCAGATTTTGTATTAAGTTTATTTTGAAGATCCCAATGCTGTTGCAGAAAGGGATGCGGTAAACAGCCGAATCTTGTCAAGGCAGATCGTGCTGCTGAATCCATTTCAGTCATTTACAGTAACAAGACAGATTAGATTTATATATGAAGCGACTATCGATGTTTTACGTTGTGTTCATGTTTTTCTTTAAGTTAATTTCTTTTCTCGCTTAATCAAAGGATGATTCCAGAAGATGATTTACCTGTAATTTTACTTCCACCATCAGAACGAGGCTTTTCCCATCGAAGCTCAATATAACTTCGACCCACTTTTCCAACCATCACATCTTCTGGAGGAGATGGGGGATCTGGAATTAGTTTGAAACTCTTTATTTTCGATCATTATAATACTTTCATTTTATTGAAAATGACCTATAGCTATATTTCACGATGGTAATAAAAATAAAATTTAAAGTTAAATTTTCCACTCTATTCAAATGAAAACATAATTTTAAAACTCTATAAATGTAGTTTTTGTGATACAATTTCATAATGTGAATAATGCATTATAATTGTGAAATTACAATTGGCAAGACTTTTGCAAAATACTTCTCAAAAACTAAGATTATTAAGTAAGATTATTAAGATTAAGATTATTAAGATTAGATAACAGTTGTAACTATATAAGGCAATTAAACTATAATAAGATTCTAAGATTAAGATTCTAAGATTAAGATTCTAAGATTAAGATTCTAAGATTAAGATTCTAAGATTAAGATTCTAAGATTAAGATTATAAGATTAAGATTATAAGATTAAGATTATAAGATTAAGATTATAAAATTAAGATTATAAGATTAAGATTATAAGATTAAGATTATAAGATTAAGATTATAAGATTAAGATTATAAGATTAAGATTATAAGATTAAGATTATAAGATTA